TGAAAACTATTAAATAACTTATTAGATATACTGTTTCTAATTGATTGCACGTAGGAATGGAAAATAAATAAAAAATGCTAGGTACTGACAGACAAAACAATCCTGGACATTTTATCAACAAAAATATAACAGTTTCATCAAAGTCATCATAAAACTCCGAAATTTCTAAACATTTTCTTTAAACTAGTTACCGATCACGTACATTACGTTAAGAGATTAACCATGAAGATTAAGTATTATATCATGAGCCTCCATTACGGATCTATCCATCATCATTATGAACCATGGGAACCAACTTTCTCATGGGTTTGCTATATTATTACAAATCTGATAAAGCATTTTAAGTAATTTATTTTCTATTGCTTGTATAATCTTCTGTGAATCTTCCGTAATACATTTTTGCTTTGAATAGTAACTAGTGGTACCTGGTGACAAATTAGTGTCTCAAGCTAATCTTTTTAAATAAAACGATGCAATTTATTGTACACAAGACATTATTTGAAGACTTTGTAGTATGATTTAAGACTTACTTATATACATGTATACATTTATGTTTTTTTTTAAACCCTTGCCCCACATTTGGATTTCCTCTTGTGTCGTGGGTGCTGTTACAAACATACAATTTCACATACACAAGACACCCAGACCCGAGACAACGATTTGTGGATCACACAAAGAGTTGTTCCGTGCGGGAATCGAACCCGCGACACGTTGCACGGCAGCCAGTTGCCAGACACCGCACCAACCGTGCAGTCGATATTATATATTTTGATACCATTACATCACAATCGCAGCTGCATTACTTACAGTACATTGTTGAGGTATTCAACAGACAGCTGAAATTGATTTGAGAGCCTAAGACCTCCGGCTTCTTGCCCCATCTATGATTACTGCATTCATCTGTTTCAAACTATGCAATCCCAAACAGATAATTTCAAACACTGCATTCGCTTGCCCTCATAACTTGAATATTCTTAAGTCGCAACACTAGGAAGAAACCCATAAGACTAAAGTGTACGAACCCAATTATTACAATGATAAGGTCAGGTAGGTACTAAGAAACTTCGCTACCCGAATATTTTGAAACTAACAATTCCAAGCTATCATCAAGAAACAGTTAAACTCAATAACACCATAACATTTGCCATAAACTGATACTTGCAGAAGGATCGCTAAATTAAATTCAAAAGGTTAACAAGGCGCAATGCACTGACTTTCAAAGGAGGCAACAAATTAAGGATCCGCAACAGCCTGTTTATGAATTTCTGATGGAACATTAACAAGTTACATATGCAACCTAACATCCTCTATAATACTTGTAGCTTCGGCTTCCGAATTAGCTTTTGTGTTATTCCAGACTACAATCACTCTATATTCCATTCATTGAGATCAGTTCAGCTCGTTTTACGTATAATCTATGTACATTTACTTCAAAACATTATTCAAATTAATATAGTGTTTGCTAATCCTGACAGAGTTGTGTTATTGTGAACCTTCTGCGCCTTCGTATTGTCTACTATATAACTGTGTTTAACCGAATTGCTGTTACGTGATCGAGTTTGCAATTTGATACAATCGCGTGTACAATTCCTATAGTTATTTACGTACTCATATAATACATGAACTTTCATCATTTTTGTGTCCGTGCCATACCAGCTACTATCAGTTTATCTACACACGTGTTAGAGTTGTTTTAAGTACGTACAATTTAGAATGTGATGGAAAGTTATAGATTTCTTTGAAGATTGTTGGATGTGTTTTAGGAGAGAGTTTTGTAAGCTCAGTAGTTAAGTTCTAGGAAACAAACAGATAAAAATAATAATCATCATGTGCAGCTCAGGCATTTTTTAGTACTGACACAAGTATCTAATCATAAATTTTATTTCTTTCGTGATTAAGATCGTCTAGTATTTCAGTAAGTGTTATTTTCTTTCCTGCATTGATATTTACGTGGTCATGCATTTCCTTTTCATCTGAATCATCTCCGTCACTATCATTAGTCATCTTGTCTGAGGTCCAATCGGAGTTGTTGAGAGCGGAACGTTTCAATTAGAAAGTACTTCTGCGTTCGACGTCAGCCCTTCTTTACCCTTACAAGAATTAATGGTGGCGTGACGAGAATACGTGACTGATCCAAAGGTTGCCTATATGAGGTATTAAATGACAATATCGCGTGCGATACAGTATAGGGAAGTACTTTCACTTCATCGTGTACTTGTCTGGAATGCCCATGATTGATATCGTTTAATAGAAAAGTTTAGTATATATTCTTGTTAAACTAGTTATCGACTTTCTTTACTAATTTTACCTTGATTGTTTCACGGTAGTTCGTCAGTCAGAAAGGTTCTTCTGCTAAATTTGTTATACTGATTCCTCTTTACACATCTTCTTTCAAGTGAAAAAAAAGATATAGAAGAAGGAAAAATATGTACCCAAGAGATAAATCCTGCAAGCCATTGAAACTAGTTTATTGAGGAATGCATTTTCAAGTCCGGTTAATTATCACAAACGTGATGTTATTACGTGACTACATCAAGATCCGCATGGTGACCACTTTTCTGAACCAAGCTTCATATCGGTGTTATGGTAAGCTATCGATATTTTTTTAAATGTAATTCTCATTAGCAATGCTGATTTCAACTTCAAAACTGCATGAAACAAAATTAGACACTTCAATTAGCCAATTAGAAATCAAATTCTAGACTGGCTCGTGCAATTACAAAATGAATGTCGAGAGAATTCGCTTCACTTGTTTTCAAATTGCAACTGTTTATCCCTGAACCTAAGAGGGATCAGAGACGTGGGTAACACGTACATTTACAAAATCATTTTCCATGGACCTTGCGTAAGAATTAACTGGCCTTTTGTGGTCCCTATTAAATTCAATATTTCACAAACTGCGCCTAGCGAGCGAGATCATCACGTAGATCTACCGTTTTGTGTAAGATGGACTCGTTGCGTAATTTACCTTTAGGTTTGTTTGGTCTAAGATTATCTTTGATGCCTTATTGGTATTTTTGGGATGGGCGAGCCAAGTCAATTTTCGCAATTCTAAAAACCGTACGGTTAGAACGCAGTATTTATATTTTATAATAAAACGTTATTTCTACATAGATTTAGTTAATAGCAATGCTATTATTATACATACATAGTAATTTAATTCCTTAAAGGGTGTCCACCTTTTGTTGTCTTTTCTCGCTTGCCCAGTTTGCATAATTCTCTCACAGCCCAAGCCAATATTATCCCTCCCTTTAGTTCATTCTCAAACACTTAACCAGCGTAATTTGTGCTGTCATCATTCTTTACTATCATATATCATAATCTACGTTTCAACACTCTGAATTGACTTCATTTGCAACTTTGTTAACCACGTAATAAGGATCATTATTGCTAATAAATAACAATGAATAAAATGGCTATTGTTCTTTAACACCATCGATCATGAGTAGATTCTAATGGAGGGCTAATGGACCTGCAATGAGATATTTCTTGGGATAGTGTTCGGACTATCACTGCCTGTGACAGATCAAGGACTGTTTCTTATTTTGTTTTATGGTAGTTACGAGCCTGAGAAATATTATTGTTGAGGTCATCTGAAAGGTATTTACTATGATAAGAAATTTCTACAGAACTTAAATATTTTATCTAAGCCTCTCATGTACAACTTTTGGCCTTAAAGCTCGGGTTAATTAGTCTATTCCCAGTTTTTGAAAATTGGAACATAAAAATCATGAAAACGAACCGACCATAAAATTATAAAGAAAAAGAATACAGTAAAAGCAGACCACAGACAGAACCAATATCTCAGGAGTTGTAGCCAGATTGCTCAAGATATTTCTACAGTTTATCGCCATTAGCAAGATGATATGTTCTCGGTCTGTAATAACATGCAGAGAGATGTTATTGTCATTACTATTACTCTAATGATAGTTGCCGCATCATTGGACAATGTGATTGACATGTAGAATACGTTTCGACACCAAGAAGAGCTCTCGGCAACTGTTGCAGATAGTGTTGGTGGTCTCGGAAGAAGATATAGATTATAACCATTGAAGAAATGCCAAAAAAAATTTGGTTTCCACCATTGATCGAAAATATTTTTAAAGAATAAATTTTCTCCCATTATAGTTCTTTTTAACAGCTTCTCTACATAAGTATTCAAAACCAATTAAAATGTACAAACATTCCGGCAAAGCTTCTGGTAGATTACTGCCAGTTGCGGACATGTAAAGGACCGAAATGCCAGGATCGTGCGCGGGCGCAACTGCGCACACTTTCAAGCCGATGTTTACTTGCTGTAAAATTTCATAATTATATTGTTGCATGTGTTGAGAATTGTAATTGATAGCACGGCTATGTGCCTGTATATAAGTAGTTAAACTTGTAATAAGTAAAGAAAACCTTCTAGACATAGAATTATTTGCTATGAACTCTAAACGCATGACAAAAAATAATCGCAAGACTTGTTTTCCTGAACTTTATTCACGTTGCGGCCAAAATAAATCAAGTTCAACTTCTTTGGACTTCATATTTAAAACTGGTTTTCTACAATGCAGCTGCCATTTAAGCATTTTTGCATCTTGTCAAATGTCACTGTCAATTTCAAGAATCAAGATACGTTTCGCAATATTTTCGAACTTTTCACGATTCTTCATTAGTGATACATTGAGTTGAACTACTGCATAAAGACAGTAATAAACACCACTTAACTTATGTTTTTTAACCACTTACGAAGACCAGTGTCGCGACCTTCTACTGATAATTCCCGCGCAATGGGTACACAACCCCGAAAATCTCCAATAAGATACATTTTGGCAAAATTACAATTTTATGGTGTTGTGTTCGGACTGGTACCCGGGATCTTTGTCTTCCAAATCACCGTAGTGTACCCAGAAGTTGTCAAGATGTTAAAAATTGGTATCATGAAACAAATGTTCCATATCTGTTTGATATCGTTCTGGTTTATAAACGTTATGGGCAACTTGATTTATAGTATTATCATGGATTCTAGTTTAAGAAGGCCAGCAGTCGGCGAAGGTACGTACTGTGAAGACTGTCGCATGGTGCGGCCGGTAAAAAGTTGGCACTGCACGCAATGCAACGTATGTATCATCAAGCGCGACCACCACTGCACCTTCCTGTCGCGCTGCATCGGCCTCTATAACCAGAGGTACTTCGTGTTGTTCCTCGGACACGTGATGCTCTCCATGACGTACACTACCTACTACAACTACTACTTCGTGACCATGAAGTTTAAAGACGACGGCTGGCTACTCTCAGCATTCCGCCTGATCAACCCTCTGTTACGATTCATCATTCCAGAGCCCACGGGCTTCAAAGATCTTTATTTGTTCTTTTTGTTCTCAAACGTGGCCCTTATATTGTGGTCTGGTAGCTTATTCTATTGGCATTTTAAAAATGTTGTGATGGGCGTGACTTCTTACGAGGCAAGATTTCCTGAACTTAAGGACTTGAGCAAATGGAAACAGAATTTAATTAATGTATTTGGGACTAAATGGTACCTAGCTATAATATGTCCTCTGTGTGATAGCCCATTACCGAAAGAAGCTAAATACGATTAGGAGTTGTTGTAAAGATATTGGCGTTAGTATTAGTTTGTTTAAATAAACTTTAATCATAAAATCATTGTTTCTTTCAGTACGAAATACTGGTAATCCATTCGTTTCTAATAATGGTCCGTCAGCAATCTTTACAGAGCAGTTGACATGAATCCGGGTGAACATTATAACTGAATTCAGATACAGTCAGCACGGTTTGCTCAATGAGGGTGATCCACATTTTACAGTTAGGATAAACTTGAAACAATACTGATCTCGCGAGGATACGATTTAGTTCATTAAGATAGGTTTCCATTGCCGTTTGTGTTGAGTGTGGGGAGCACGTAACCGTTACATAAGCAGCGATAAAACGGGCGACACCCACTGCATGCTAATGTCCAGGAAGTAGGCTCGACTGCGGCTTCGTTGCCTATACTATGATGAATGCTTGCGGTTGGTTTGGTTTACGAGTGGATAAGAGTGCGTGCTTTGGATAAAAAATTGGTCAAAATTAAATTGACACAATGTTTACGTTTGCACTGAAGCTTGATTTTGATTGGTTAGTTCTTATTTGTTTGTTTACAGGCCATACAACAACATCACTAGTCTTTAGAAGATTCGTCAGTTTTATTAATTCCTAAAATACTATCAACAAGTAAGTTGACAAAGTTATGACCAGTTATTCTAGATTTATGACCAATGCAGTCAAAATAATTAACAAAGTAACAGTAATGTCAGCTGAAATGCAGCTAATTAACGGAGGGTAATTAAAAACAATCAGTGGAGTACATGGAATCGCCGTGCAATTCGTGGCATGCGCACGCGACGCCGACGACGACGGTGTGGTCACCGTTACGCGGAACCCGTTACCGCATACACATAAAGCCTTCACTGACATATACATAACAAAACATCCAGTTAGGACAGTAGGAGACTTGATAGCATATGAATTATAATGGACTGCAAAATCTTTTTGATTTATAACCAAAAGTATTTGAAAAGGAGCTCTTAGTTTTTGACTTTCAAAGTATGTATAATTAATAAATAGGATAGATGATGCAATGTGCATATACGATTACATTATTCGGGGATAAAATATGTATATATTCTTTGACGATATGCACCAAAAGTTTCTAAATGCATAAATGTTATAATGACCAGTCTTGTGTTTCTAGGACCCAGGGACTGATAATTATGTCCTCAAACATAAATTTTAACTTCGTAAGTATCATTTTCAACACAATATCTACCATTATCGTCTATTAAAATATCAGTTCTGTAATCTATTACAACACAAACACTTAGGTTAGTTGGTTGTCAATCCGTCATCTTTATGTTAACATCACAAACTGGAGCGATCGTCAAGCAGTGGTGATTAACGCCCGGTTCCTATAATTGACAAACGATCCGTTTTAGTTACGAATAGTAGTTTTATATACGGCTCGTAAGCTAAAACCGTTCCTATAAACAACGTCTCGTCGTGCAACTTACTGACGGCTTGCAACTAACGGATGGGAGGGTATCGGTAAGCGTATTGTATGGAGATGACAGTCTATGGTGTTCCTATAAATATTTTAACCGTCGGTAGACGGTCAAGATGACTATTCGTAATGTCATTTGGTTACGTGCCGATGTCGGTCGGTTAGAGTAGATTTTTTAAAGGAAGTTCACTGATTTCGCTTTTAAATCTTAAAATGTCGAGTTTAGATAGTGATAAAGAAGCATTTGATATTATATCAAACTCCAGTAAAACTGTTTCAGAAGAAGATAATAATAGAGGTAACAAAATACAATAGAGAAAGAGTGGATTATTTAGCGTTGCTGGATTCTTACGAATATCAAGTAAGATAGAAGAAGATAATAATAGAGGTTACAAAATATAATAGAGAAGGAGTGGATTATATGTACTTATTTAGCGTTGCTAGATTCTTACGAATATCAAGTAAGATATCGACTCGATAAATAATCATCTGAGCAGTTACTTTATAATTTAATTAATTATCTGCAGCAAGAAAATAAATTACAAACTTATTTGGTTTTAGATGTTTCGAAGTGTGAAAACGGCGATTTCCTTTGGTGGCTCTTACGAGTTCATGCTGTTATACCTAATAGTTACAGAAGTGCTCCATAACATTTGTTCTTCGTGACAAGTAATGTTGATAAAATGAAAAATTCTACGGAAAGATACACAATGATTGCAGAATATTTATCCATGTAACCACATTATCATCCAATGATGTATTAGTAGGTAGTACATGTACAACAAGAAGAAGGAACCTTCTCCTTTTTTGTTTATTGTCGTTACTTCAAAGGTTTTTATATTTTTCAGTTTACACTAATGTATGATGATATCAAGATAAACAGCAGTAATGAACTGATAAATATTAGTTCTCTTATAAATGTTATGAAAAATAATAAAACGAAAAAAACATAAATGTTTTATTTTACAACTGTTCGAAACATCCTAAATAGCACAAAAAAACCAAAAACCAAACCATTTCAATGCCTCCATACCATTTAAATAAAAACACGACATTTATTCAAACTACAAACTAAATATTATTATTACAATCAATATTTTCCTTATTGGCTCCTATTTCAATATTTTAAGCTTAATGACAGTGTTTTCTGTCGTTTTATCATAGTATCTTGCAATTGGCAAATAACATTGGAGCCGTCCGTCACCTGGTTCATTTTAATTTCTTTGGCTGTAATAAAGAAAGGTCATTAGCACATGTTTTAATGTTACAGTAATTCCATACACAATAAAATGACAAAAGGTGTCCAACTACATATATGTATGTATAAGTCACATAATAATTATGCAATTATATTTTTACTTATTACAAAATTAGAAATTGGACCTTTGTATGGGAGACACATAAACACTGTTAATATAGAATTATTTTTACCTTTGCTTTGCAGAAGCTTAGACATAGAGGTAATTCCATATATACATGTGTTTTCCACTTTGTTGGCACAATATCCATTTCAAACAATAACTTCTATATAAGTCAACTTCTTTCGATGTCGTAGGCAATAACAAACACGTATCTTGTTATCAGTAAATTATAAATTGTAGATGAATCGAGATTGATTATTTGAAAATATATATTTGTTTAACGGATGTCAAACGTCAATGCCAACGCTCTTGACTATTACAACGTTCCGTTTCTATGGTGTTAGCTGCATTCAATTTGTTTGGTAAGGGAAAAATGATCACGCAGATGCCTGCGATGTCATAGTTTTAGTTAATAAAACTAAAAGAATAATTTGTATGTAAATCCGACTTATTTTATCTTGAATTTTGTGTTATCTTTAATTTCAATTTTACTTATAACGAAACGCTCATCTGTCAATGAAGAGGACTCGGTATTTCAATGACTAACGGACGTTCGTAAAGAACATGATTATAGGAACGCTATCTACGATTCGTATTCGGTAGTTGAAAAACGGATAGTAATGCGTATACAATGACGATTCGTTATATATAGGAACCGGGCAATAGTGGTGATCATTTGATGGTGACTTGTTGAATGTTCTTTTGGGAATCTGACCTTTAGACCATTTTGGGAACTGTATTTGTACTTGTTACGACCTACATACATATTAGGTGGTTATTTTTTCTCTTTTGAGGCCTCTAAGGCGACCTTTTCAAGTTTCTCAAACAAATTAGTTACCATGCATGAACATCTAGGAGTCGAGAAAAACAGGCCAATAATCGTACACTTCATTAGTTCATTACATACAGGATAGAAATCGCACGGAAACATTCAATATTATCGTTCTTGAATCAACCACTTTACCAACTTTTAAATGCAGATCACAAAATCACTTCTCATAAATATCTTCCCATAAATATACGTAATCAATGTCTTGATGAACCGCAAATGTAAGTTTGTCAGGAATCGATATTGCTGCCTGCTTTCGCTTTGGATCATATAAATTATGCACTTCATGATGTGTAGATGTGATAGCATTGTATTTAATAAATGTGTATTGAACTGATTTTTTAATTCAATGAAATATATGATTTAAACCTCCTGGTACATTACTTATGAAATTGGTAATTAGTACAAAAATAGCTGTGATTGCAGTGAGCCTGTCAATCAAGCCAAAGAAATGAGTGTTCGTAACGAACCCTTACGTAAAAACACAATTGCAACGTTGCTTCCTAATCGTGCAAGCTAGTAAGAATATTTTCAGTCCCCTGCAATGCTGCATAGTTTTATTTATACATGTCCAGTTTCCCACTTTAAATGAGATAGACCAAATTTTTTTCAATACATTATTTGCATTTACTTACTACCTTTTTTAAGGTAAAATCGTAAAATGACTTCTCTCTCCTAGGGTGTGGCAAGAGAGGATGTCAAACTATTACTGACTAAAAGCCTACCTCCTTCTTCTGTTCTAGACCAAGGCCGCGGTACCTTTTTGCTCTACGAACAGGAAACATCATCAGTTCTCTTCTACCAAATCTAAACACAACGCTACCAAAATGTTACCTATGTTATCTAATTCATAACTTCCTTCGCTTCATCTATCAGATTACTGAGGTCTGAATGAGAACAGGTTGTCAGTTTTTACCTCAAGTTGTCATTAGTGGGTGGAGAGTTATCAACCTGTTATAACTTATGCACTATCACGACTTCAATAAATATTGTACGCAATACTTTGTTGATTTCTCAGCCACATTCTCGCCCAGGTCTTTTTTAGTTACACGACTGTTTGACTTAAGAGGTAGATATCGATTGTGATCATTCAAGTTGCCTGTAATATTGTCCCTAATGAAAATGCAAACTTGGCGTACATTTCTCCTAAAGCAAATTGGGAAATATATACATCTACACATTCATATAGCAGTGGTGGCCCGGAGGTTAAGGAGCCCGCTTCTCATGCATGAGGGTGTGGGTTCGAAACCTGGCAAGTACCAATGTGACTTTTTCCGAGTTATATGTACTTTCTATAATTATTTAGACACCACTGACATACGGTAAAGGTAAATATCGTGAGGAAACCTGGAC